ATTTTGCCTCGTTATGTGAGCGGTCATTACGTATGCCTTCAAATCGATAATTTCCCAAGCTACGTGAGCGATCATCGCGTGTGCACGCTGGTCGATAATTCGTCGCGCTGTGTGAGCGGTCGTTAACGTTTGCCGTTTGCCAGCGCGTATGACTCCAAGCCGTAGACTCTGAGTGCAAGGTCGCTAGCGTCCCTATAACAATTACTGGTAAATAGACATTATGAAGCGGTTCGAGGAGCTAGATGGTGTGCGCTCGTTTGAGCTGTACCCGCGTCAAAAACTAGTTAGCTTACTTCACTGTCCACTCGGAATTCATGGTAAGGAGACGGTACCACTGGAACAACCACTTTGATGGATCAGAGTTGGCAGCCGCACGTGTGTTTACAAGCCTACATTGTCCAATTTGAAAAGCATTACCGAAATGCTTGTGACTGACTGTTCCTTGCAGCTTTGAAGGACTCAACGAATGGCAGACTGCCACACGGTGTCTTGTGAAAGCCGATCGCAGTTTAGCCGAATGTTTTAAACACAACTTCAACAGCTAGCACACTGTTCGTGTCACCACGAGGAATGAGGTCGACAAGGTCAGTGAACGGTTTACAACTTAGAAGGCGGAAACAATGTGCATTTCCTGGATATACTTGCTCGCCAATTACTCCCCCCCTCCCCGCCAACCTACCAGCAGACACTGGGAAGAAAATATAATCAACTCAAGTATGGAAGCTTAGTTCTAGCGAGATGTTTTGTCGAAGCGGGCAGGCGGCACACTGTCGTCAAGGTTAGGTAAAACTATTTTGGATTTTAAAGAACTACTGAATAAGATTTAGTAGCGTTATTTTGGCGCGAAAAACTGACAGTATATATGTTAATATAGAAAGAAGTGGATGGCAACAGGAACTTAGAAAACAAGACTAGCAGGTAGTAAATGAGCTAACGAGGGGCGGGGGACATTCGAAGCTCAAGAATTAGTAGAAAAAGGGGAGCTCTTCCAGCTCCGCTGCCAACGAGGTCGAAGAGGGGGGGAAACATGGGATAAACCAATCAGGCGGAGAGGCTGCGCAAACCTGGCGCAGGAAGTTTGGTTAAGAGGTGGCGCGCTTTTAATAATAGAGGAAATGGAAATTGCAAATCTGGCTGCTGCCGAAGGTCTTCTTTTTTTCTTCATCAAAAACCCGCAGTTTCGGCGGCGTCCTGCTGCGTTGGAGTTCGGTCGTTGTCGTTGTCGTCGTCGACATCACTCCTCGCGGAGAGAACGTCTGGCGAGACGGTGAAGACGGGATGCTGCTGCTGCTGCAGCGGCGGCGGATGATGATGATG